CCCTGGCTGGGGTTGCGGCGTGGGAGAGTGGGACGGGACCGGCCCGCAGCACTGAGCAGGGGACGCAGGCGCTGCTCCCAGGCGGGGGGACCCGCGGTCTTCTGGAGGGTAGAGTCGGGGGACTCCGCGGAGCGGGTTATGTAAGAGAACATCTGGGGACCCTGGCGCCGGGGCTGGAGGGGCTGGCGGAAGGAGCCTGGGAAAGCCGGGGTTGTGCTGCCCCGACCTCTTCTCTCCCGCCCGCTGGCTTGCGATTCAGTTGTCAGAGTTTGACGTGGATGCCTTGAAAGTGGGGGATTCCTGACCTTAGTGGGAAAGGTTGGGTAGAAAGATGGGAGAGAGCTTCTTCAGCCCACTTCAAGAAGTTGAAGGGAGAAGGGATCTCTCCGGAGATCCGCATTTTGGATTAATTACCACGTTTATTTTCATCTTTGTGTTTTTCTGGACTGCTGGGTTTGGACTTTTTTTTTTTTTTAACTCAACAAAGAGTTAAGAAACTTTTTTAGATTTGGCAGCGCATCAGTATCAATGTTTACAGCGCACATTTCAAGGGACTGTCCTGTACCCTAGGTTTGGAACTGAGGTTAACTGATGAGCCCAACGTAGTCGGAAGGTCAAACTAAGTTTTAAAAGGAGATACTGGAGTTACTAAACTACTAGCACTTTCCAGTTAGATCCCCAGAGCTACCGGGACTGAGCTGTAGGCGAAATTCCAGGACAGAGTGAGGGCCAGGGGAGCCTATTTATCCCAAACATTGTGTATCTTGGTAGGAAACGAATGTGTGGCAATTCAAACGCTGAAATAGCGGGGAGCAGTAGGAGTGGCAATTGGGAAGCGGCCTCCTAGTTTGACAGATGTGAAAATTAAACTAATGAACAAACTGTTTACCTAGGATATGTTAATGCCGCGCCAGCTATCCTTCAGATGTTCTCTCAGTTTTCTGTTTGAATTTTTAAAAATCTTTTTCTTCAATGTGTCTGTTGCTTCTCCTCACTTTTTCGCTGGCTGCTTTTTAAAGGCAGACTCAGAACATGGCGGTTTTAGAAAAATAATGGAGAATGTAACTACTGTATCATTTCACAGTTATTTAAATAGTTCTTGTTTCAATTTAGAATGTGTCTTATTAGGAATCTTTCGCCAGTGTTTAGTAATGGGCCGCTTCAACTAGTAGAGAGAAAGGAATGCTGTATTATTTCCCAGGGATGTAACGTAGATCCATCCACTTCTTTAGGTGCTGAGGATTGAACCCAGAGCCTCATGCATGCTAGGCAAATGCCCTACGGTGGAGGTATGCCCCCACACCCTAGATCTGCTAAATTACATCCAATCCAGAAATCACCGAAGGCCTTTTTCATCATGGTTATAGTAACTAGAGGGCATACTCAGTTTAGGTGCTTTATTTGACTTTACTTGCTGCAGAACAGTTCTTACTTGGCTTCACAGACTGTATAACTTGATGTGATTATGAAAATTCCATTAATAGAAGTCCTCCCCTATGAAACAGAAGTTATGCAGTTTAGAGGAACAACAGCAGCAAACACATTTAAAATAAAAGACACTTAAAGATGTATTGGATGTAACTTTTTACATTAAATTTATTAGGTAGAACTCAAGTACAAATAAAACCAATTAAATGAGGTTACTTAGAAAAAGCAAATATTCATGATATAGTGCACAGAATGTATGAAACGGTCTATGTAAGGATCGGTAATCTAGTACCAATAATTACAAAGGAAAAGAACTATTTGAGTGGATAGATTCTTTAACTGTCTTATTAGCTCATTTCTGATTGGAACAAATGATCACTTTCAAAAACAAAATATTAAATTTATTTCTTTATAAGGAAAGAAAGTGCTCTGATACTCCCATGAGTGATTACTAAAGTCAACATTTCAACCGCATTACATTATGCTATTGATCCAAAGATGATGATGAAAGAGATTCATTGGAATAGAATTTTCAGTGACAGAAAGGGCCTATAATGTTTTTATTCCTTGGAGGCAGGGTCATGAGGAGGGTAGGAATTCTGTGAGAACTATCTTACATTTATTTTAAAAAATAAAACTACACTACAAAATACTAAGTGTGTGAAATCATTATGTTATACCTTTGTTCATGTAAACTTTATTTTCTATTTTGAAATATAATCAAAAGAACAGATTAAGATAGAGCCTCACACTTCCATATGAATGGTTATGGCAACCACAGAATGAGAGTCCAATTTCTTTTGGACTCTTAACTAGTTTCAGTTTTAGTTTAACAGGATACAAGGGCTGTCCAATAAATGCAATAACCCATTTTACACTTGCTTTACCACTTATATCCTATACAGTCAAGTCATTGTAATCCCAGAGACTACCTTGATAACTAAATCGGTTTAATGTTTAAACCAACCAGCATAAGTGTTCTTACTTTTTGCTAGTATTTATATTCACTAGTCAGTACAATAGAATGAATGAATTAATGTAAACTATTGATACTTTTTTCTATATGATTTTAGCTAAAAAG